GCCTTTGGCACTCATGGTTTTATGAATAGCATTAGTGGATAAAAAAAGTTAGAGCCACTTACCTCAACCTCTTTGTTCATATGAGTTTGTAACTCATGTATCTCGGAAGGGCTCAAAGGAGCGAGGTTGAACTTTCGGTCATTATGGGTGAATGAGTACCGGTTAGTACGACCGTTGTGAAATGTAGCTCGGTCAAACTGCCATGGCCGGCCAAGTAACAAGTGCCCCGCTTGCATAGGGACGACGTCACATAGCACTTGATCTTGGTACTTGCCCACACTGAACGGTACGGTGACTTGCTCGGAGATTTTGAGCTCCGTTTGATCATTCAGCCATCGCAGCTTATACGGTCTCGGGTGTTTGATCCTTTCTAGTCCTAGCTATCCACCATGTACCTGCTTGCCACGTTAGTACATGAACCACCATTTATAATGAGGTTACATACCTTGCCCTTGACGGTACATCTCGTATGGAAGATGTTTTCACGCTGAACCTTCTCCTCGGGGTTAACCATCACGCTTAACACTCGGCGTGTCACTAGTAACTCTCCCGTGTCAGGAAACTCCAGCTCTTCGTCCTACTCATCATGGTTATAGTCTTGCTCGTCTTGAGATTTGTAATCGCCGCTTGGAGTGAGGATCATCACTCGTTGGTTCGGGCATTCGCGAGCCATGAGTCCCCTGCCTTGACACTTAAAACAAGTTATATCCCGAGTCCTTGATTGATTACTAGGGAACTTACCTTGATCAGCACAGTTGAATTTGGAGGGTTCAGGTGGCTTACTTTTGAACCGTGAATCAATATCAATCGCTTTACCCTTATCTAGTGGCTTAGAACCGCTTGCTACCCACGGTTGAGTGGCTTGGCTCCGACCAGTGTAGGAGGCTTTGCGTTTGATTTGCTGTTCCACTTGTACTGATAAGTGTAGCAGCTCGTGTAGCCCACTGTACTGAGCTCGTTCCACCTTCCGGGCTATCCTCTTTTGAAGCCCATCTATAAAACTGCTCCATTAGAGCTTCCTCAGACTCTTATAGCTCTAGCGAGATCATTAGCTTCTCAAACTCTTCGAAGTACTCCTCAACGCTCCTAGTTCCCTGTGCCAACTTACGAAAACGCTTCTGTAAGTCTCTATGGTAATGTTCTGGCACGTACCTTTGGCGGAGAAGGAACTTCATATCGCTCCAAACCGAGACTGGTCCAAATCATTGGCGTCTCCTCTCGGCTACACTCCTGTCCCACCACGCGAGGGCATTCTCCATGAGGTTGGCAGCAGCTACAGCCACCTTCTTACGCTCGACATACCCATAACACGAAAGATGTGGTCCATCCTCCATTCCCAGTCCATGTAAACCTCCGGGTTTGAATTTCCTGCAAAAGTAGGAGGGACTAGCTTAATGTCATGATTATGTTCTCTAGCATCTACCTCACGAGCAGGGTTTATTTGGAGGGGATCTTGTCGCCTCGGCTGTGGGCATCGTATGAGGTCACGAATGTCCTCGTCTAGCTCGGTCATGTCATCATCAGGCTCTGGGGGAATGGAGTCTCCGCGTATGGGAGCTCTTCTCGGTCGTGCCTCCATTTGATCAATCCTAGCACCAAACTCTTAGCGCATAGTCCCTAAGGTCTCAGTCATTATCCTAAAATCTTCCCTTAGAGCCGCAAACATTTGCATCATAGCATCTTGGGGGGCTGCATCTCCTTCTGTCATGATGTTGCTAAATGATGTACCTTGTAAACACTTAACAAACGGTCATGGTACCAACGAGCACAAATCTTACTAGAACTATTACTTGACTAGAGATTCAACAAACGGATCAATAGGCAAGACTAGCAAAGCGTGAAACACAAAGAAAATTTTTTATGAGTTTTTATGAAAGATGTTTTAAGAGTCAAAACAAGAGAAAGAAATAAGCAGACCGGATCTAATATTTTTGAGGTTTTTTTTTATGAAAATTAAAACAAAAGACCAAAAAAGAGTAAGCAAATGATTTTTATGGGTTTTTGGAATAAGCAAAGCAAAAAAACGCAAGCAAAAAATAAAATAACTAAGGCTATCAAACGGATATATAAAGCTAAAAGACAGAAAAACCAAAGGCAGGAACCTTTGGCTCTGATACCAGATGATATAAGACTCGGGTGAGCTTATATGAACTGGATGGTGATGGTGAGTACAAGCTGGCGTTCACTCTCTCTTGCACCCGTTTGATGGTCGTTGATGAGGATCTAACACGCTGGCGGTCGCTCTCTCGTGTGGGAACAAGGGAAAGGGGATTGTTGGCGGATCGAATTGTACCACAGAGTAGTGATGAGACTCTGATACAACACGGCTCAATCTCAAGATAATCCACTATAGATTTCAAGCAAATGTGAGAAAGACTTCTCTAGAACTCGTTGAAGAAAGTTTGGCGTTTTATTGATAATCAAAGGTAACCAAAATTACACGGCTGCAAGGGGACCTTATAAATGATCCTATCAGCTAGCCCTAAGGCCAAAAGCAAAACGCAAAAGAAACGACACACAGCTAGCTACTAAGCGTACAAAGCAAAAGAAAACTATAAAAGGAAAGTTCATTAAACTAAAAGAGAAAAATAAAACTAAGCCGCTTCTTCTTGACTCTAGCAGGGACTCGAACTGATGATCACTTGGGGTTGCTAAGAACCGTTGGGACATGTTGCTTCACATGCACGAATGTTATAAATTAAGTATACCTTGTTTTGGCGTGCATGGTAATGGCTGATGGTGATAGCGTTTGTCTCGGCTGTGGGGCGGTCTTTGTACTCTTGTTGCACTTGTGTCTTGAAGCTTGAGGTATCCAGTTGGTTATTATCCTCACTTGACTCGTCCCGGTCTTCTTGTATCTCTTCTCTTAAACTTGCCAAGATGCGGTCTTGGTGTGTATGATGCTCCTCCAGTGTGAACGTTCCTGCATGGTTAGTGATCGGTAACGTACGTATGGAAGGGTCAGTGATAGTACCTTGGCGAGGCGAAGTGATGGCAAGACGGTTAAAACCATCAATGATATCATCGTGTGTGGTATGGTCAGTCTGACCCGGGGTACGACCCTCCGTACTGTCATTACGGCCCGCGGTACGACCCTCCGTACCGTCATTACGGTTGTCACGTACCGTTCCAATCGAGAGAAGTTCCTCTGGTCTGAATGATTGTATGATGTTTTCTATGGCCAAGTTGAACCTTTTTCTAAGTTGTTTCATCTTTGAACGTGTCATGGGGGCCTCACGAACCTCGGGTACTTGGGTAACGTCCTCGTTAGGATCGATGTCCTCATCATAGGTTATCTGATTTTCATTTATTGCTTGTGTAAGTTAGTGAAATGCTTAGCAAGGTCAATGTGTTTATGTGATTGTAAATGGTTAAGTGTGAACCGTGGTCAATACATGGTGTGTAACTAGCTGTGTGAATGTCCGGATCGAGTTACTAGCTCAAGGGGATGTGTGATTCTCGCTTGGAGCAGAACCGATGCCTTATAAGGCTTCACAAGTAGTTGAGATGATCATAGGACTGTGCTGTTTTTCTGTGCTTGCTTGCTAAGTGATAATGTGAATTGTATAACAGATAGTATGATGCGTTTTTTGGTACTAGCTAAGGTGTTACAGGATGACCGTATTCACTAAGTATTTATCAAATACTTATGCCTCTTTTTTTGAGTGTGCAGGTAAAGATAAGGTCCAGGGTTTGAGTTTCTGTTACTTGCGTTAGTGCTTTCTGAATTGAACTGAATCTGATAAGTTTAGTTTATGGTATTGAATCCAAATTTCTGGAATAATTATGCAATGAGAATAGATGTCTTTTGATGAATCGAACTTGTTTTAAAGTTAACGAAAAGATTTTAAATTATGCATGTTTTTGTATTCTGGCCGAAAGAAGACTTGGTGAGGTTCGGGCCGGTCTAGTGATAGACGGTCGGGTCTTCACACCATGTCTCAACCAAGACACCACCAATAAAGATCACATCTCAAAAAAAAAAAAAATACTAAACAAAATAAAAGAGAGCATGTCTCATAGATTGCACCAACAATGATGGTAATCGAAAACAGAATTTGAAAACAGACCTCCCAAATTTTTTTTTTTGTTTTTCTTGTTTTTAAAAAAGATAATATTTTGAAAAAAAAAAATCAAAACTGCAAAAAAAAATTTGAAACTAAGAGCAGCATTGGAGAGCTGGACAAAAAGCTCTTACAATTTGTTATTATTAAAAAAATATTTTTTCAAAAAAATCGTTTTAAAAAAAAAATTCGACGAATCATGTCTTGCCACGTCAGTAAAGAGTCATTCTTCCAGCCCCTGCGCAGAGAGACACCTCTGTGCTTCAGTCTCACCACGTCATTAAAAAAACTTTTTTTTTCCCTTAGAACTTCAGAGAAGTTCTGCATTAATAATACTCTAAGAAAACTCCAAAACAAAGACCGAATTGTCACAAGACATTTTTTTTTTTTTGAAAAACATAACTAAAACTTCATGTTGGTTTTATCATCCTCATCATCGTCACCATCTTTAGCGTGTCTCCAGTGATGATCATCATGATCATACACAAATCTAATGCGGAATTTAAAAAACCCGAATCGAAAGCTCTGATACTATGTACAGTAGTATAAATGTATTTGAGAGAACTTGTTATTAATATTAATGATAGGCAACTGCCTTATATAAATGTTTACAATATAAAGATAAATTTAGACTAGATTTTATCTTTATCTCTAACTAAAATGATCATTATCTTAAATATATATGAGAATATATTTGACCTAGAACCTTCTCTAACAGTCTTGTTACATTAAACATGCTCACCACGCGTAGGTCTGCCCATTTGGTCACTCCATTGGATTATAATAAACGATTTGTTACTTATCTCATATCGGAGCACTGCGTACTATATAAATACTATCATGTCTTAGCCAAAATCACAGAACACAAACTCCTCCTCTTTTAACATATAGAAACAAACACAAATTAAGTTTTATCAGCTTTAAACCCTAAAAAAAATGGGTAATGCTAAATCAGCCATGCTGATCCTCGTACTAGCAATGCTCATCGCATGTGCCACGGCCATGGACATGTCCGTCGTTTCCTACGACGAAGATCACCACGTGACCACCAGTCCCGACCGCAGCCAGAGCGTTTTCGACGCTGAGGCTGTGTTGATCTTCGCGTCATGGATGGTCAAACATGGGAAAGTGTACGACTCCGTTGCCGAGAAGGAACGGCGGTTAACGATTTTCGAGGACAACCTCCGTTTCATCACTAACCGGAATACTGAGAATCGCAGTTATCGACTCGGTTTAACCCGGTTTGCTGATCTATCTCTCCACGAGTACAACGAAGTTTGTCACGGGGCTGATCCAACACCACCTAGGAACCACGTGTTTACGACTACTACCAACCGATACACCTAGGAACCACCTAGGAACCCGGTTTGCTTCCTAAGTCCGTTGACTGGAGGAGCGAAGGCGCAGTGACTGAAGTCAAAGATCAAGGTCTTTGCAGTAAGTGTTGGTGATTTTAAATCCGATCCATTTGGTTTAAAGTAAATGATGTAATTTGAATTAGTAAAAACACTTGAGAAGCAAAATGTAACAATGGTTTAGGCTATTTATTTATAGGGAATTTATTTGATATACAGTAAAACCTATATAAATTAATATTATACGGACCATAAAATTTTATGAAATTTTATTAATTCATAAAAATATTATTTGATTGATAAACTAATTTTGAAACAAAAAAAAATGTTATTAATTTATCGACTATATTTTATGTTTTTTATATTGAAAATTTTGAGGATAACTTGATTTAAGATAAGAGTTGACTATATATACAATTTCCTCCTTTTGAATTGCTATTTTTCTGTCTCATGGGATATAAAATTTGGCTTCATAATGTAAAGAAACATATATGAATGATCTTTACACATTTCATTTTGCATGGCTTGTTGAACTGCATGTTTCTTACACGTAACGTAAGGCTTATCGAGATTAAAATATGTTTCTAATTCTCTTATATGTTATATTCGAGCTAGTGCATAACAGTTATATTCATTTTCATTGAAAATTATTTTTAGACTAATATATTTAAATTCTTATATTTATTTAAACATCTCTGATGTACTTTTGTGCATCATGGTATCTAAATCTCATCAATTCAAGCCGAATTAGAAAACATTAGTTTTCGTCGAACCAAATACCGATATTAACTAGGAATAGCATAGCCTATCTTCATGCATGCTTCCTTCTTGTGTGAAGGGAGTTGTTGGGCGTTCTCGACAGTTGGGGCAGTGGAAGGCTTAAACAAGATCGTGTCAGGAGAGTTAGTCACTTTGTCTAAGCAAGATTTGATCAATTGTAACTAAGAAAATAATGGTTGCGGTGGAGGTAAAGTCGAGACTGCCTATGAGTTCATAGTTAACAATGGTGGTCTTAGACCTCTTGGTACCGACAACGATTATCCTTACAAGGCTGTTAATGGAGTTTGCGACGGTCGCCTCAAGGTCGGTACAGTTTCAATCGTATATATATATAAAGAAATAATGATTTTCTAACAAAAACAACATAAAACATCAATTTGCAAATATTTTAGTTTCAAACCTATTTTTGTACGTAGGGAAACAACAACAATGTTATGATTGATGGGTATGAGAATTTGCCTTCAAACGATGAACTTGCTCTAAGGAAAGCTGCTGCTCACCAGCCAATAACCGCCATTATCGATTCCAGCAGCCGGGAATTTCAGCTTTATGAATCGGTAAATATAAAAGATTTCTCTAAAATTTTGTTTAAAAATGTTTTATAGTTTTTTGAATATCCAGAAAGAAAATCTATCTATAGACTTACACTTTTTCCAAATGATTAATCTAGACCTTCCATAAATCTTGTAACGCCCTGGATCTAGGCTCAATATGAAAAGAAAAGGCCCATGTGTCAGAAGCCTTAGAGGAAAAGGTATTAGGGTTTTCCCAGAGTCTTTCCTATATAAACAGAGCTAGAGAGTTAGGTTTTCCATCACAACTCCCAAAGCACTCAGAGATAGAACCTAGGAACCCTAACCGAGCAAGCCGCCGCCGCCGTTCGTCTTCGCCGCCGACCGCCGCCGCCGAGGAGAGCCACCGTCGTTCCGCCGTTCCTAGCCGCCGTTTTCTTGAGTCTTTTGCTTTCTGTCGTTAGATCCCTTAAACCCTAGATTTCCTTTTTAGCTTTCATTCGATTAGGCAAAGGTGAGGATGTGTTCATGTCTTCCCTTCGATATTGTTAGCTAGCTTCTCCTGATTAGATCTGACTTCCAAGTCCTCTAAATCCCCTACAAGTTCCGCTCTAGGTCGTAACTTGTAGATCTGTGCTGTTTGCTAGGTTGTTATTTACTTTCAGAACATAGATCTAGGTATGAATTAATATGGTTGATTGTTGCTTGATGTTGAATATTGCTTGTGAGAATTGTGAATTGCATTGCATTGCATATAGTGTGTGAAAGCACAAACTGCATTAGGACCCAGCAGTGAGAGGCACTGCTGGCATGATTGACACCTACGACAGAGGTTGTGCTGGTCGTAGTGCCATGTGGTGCTCAGATCGACGGGCCAGTCGTGCAGCGACTTAGACTCTTGCAGAGATGCGTCCCCTAGCAAGGGTGTAAGACATACGAAACTTGTGGAGGTTAATCCATGGGATACTGTAACGAGAGGCGTTCAGTATGCTCGCTTTGTTCATTAAATATTTATTTGTTGATTGTTAGAGGAATCATTAAACTGTGCTTGTTCGTTTGGCTCTAGCTAGCGACAGGTTGGGTAATGATATGTGTGGTGGACCACATGTATGCATTCTCCTGGGTAATCTAAATTACTCATCCCCTCCTTTCCCGTTCCCCCTTGCGCAGGTGAGCAGGAGCAGCAGGAGTGATTGGCGGGTGATGGTGGCGAGCTGGTTCTCTAGTTCGGTCCTTGAGGTCCATAAGACACTTAGCTTTCTATTTCAAATGGTTTTCAGTTGGTTTTAAGATTTGATTATGATTTATTTGAGTTTAAGTTGGTTATTTGCAAGACTGTTTGGATTTATATCTATGAAATGAGTATTGATTTGGAGTTAATTCTGTGGTAACTTGGTTGGGAAGTTGAGTGTTTAACACGTCATCTCATATGAGGAGAGGCGGTGTTACAAGTTTGGTATCATAGCCAAGGTTACCAGTCAAACCGGTTCTGACCCGGGAGACATGTTTTCAAAGAAAAACCATTTTCAAAAGTTTTTAAAAGTGGGTTGGGGTTTTCAAAAGTAAAACAGCATCATCACACCACGTCACTCTGCTCTCCAGACTCAGTAAGTTAGTGTTTTCAGTTATCTTCAGTTCATCTTCATCTGCTATCTACAGTCTACATTGTGTCTACTGTCTTCATCTGTTGTCTACATCGTCTAGTGTCTGCTGTATCTGCATTAGTTGTTGTGTAACTGCATTAGGTGTGGCTAATCGAATCGGAGGACACGATTCTGATTACTTATTCTTGTGAATATATGCCACCAAATGGACAGCGTTTGACTAGGGCTGCAACACGCCTGTCTCGATAAAGGAATATCAGACAAGGGACGTTCAGGGAAAGGAAACCCGAATGGTCTTGGTGTGTTGGGAAAGAGATGGTATTAGTGAGGAGACCTGGGAAGAGGAAAATGACATGAGGAAATGGTGTCCTGAACTTTTTGAGGGTGCGAGGGGATCGCAGGGTGGTTACAAGAATTCGAGGGCGAATTCCTCTAAAGAGGGAGAGAATTGTAACGCCCTGGATCTAGACCCAATAGGAAAAGGAAAGGCCCATGTGTCAGAAGCCCAAGAGGAAAGGGTATTAGGGTTTTCCCAGAGTCTTCTCTATATAAACAGAGCTAGAGAGTTAGGTTTTCCATCACAACTCCCAAAGCACTCAGAGATAGAACCTAGGAACCCTAACCGAGCAAGCCGCCGCCGCCGTTCATCTTCGCCGCCGACCGCCGCCGCCGATCGCCACCGCCGAGGAGAGCCGCCGTCGTTCCGCCGTTCCTAGCCGCCATTTTCTTGAGTCATTTGCTTTCCGTCGTTAGATCCCTTAAACCCTAGATTTCCTTTTTAGCTTTCATTCGATTAGGCAAATGTGAGGATGTGTTCATGTCTTCCCTTCGATATTGTTAGCTAGCTTCTCCTGATTAGATCTGACTTCCAAGTCCTCTAAATCCCCTACAAGTTCCGCTCTAGGTCGTAACTTGTAGATCTGTGATGTTTGCTAGGTTGTTATTTACTTTCAGAACATAGATCTAGGTATGGATTAATATGGTTGATTGTTTCTTGATGTTGAATATTGCTTGTGAGAATTGTGAATTGCATTGCATTGCATAGAGTGTGTGAAAGCACAAACTGCATTAGGACCCAGCAGTGAGAGGCACTGCTGGCATGATTGACGCCTGCGACAGAGGTTGTGCCTGTCGTAGTGCCATGTGGTGCTCAGGTCGATGGGCCAGTCGTGCAGCGACTTAGACTCTTGCGGAGATGCGTCCCCTAGCAAGGGTGTAAGACATACGAAACTTGTGGAGGTTAATCCATGGGATACTGTAACGAGAGGCGTTCAGTATGCTCGCTTTGTTCATTGCATATTTGTTTGTTGATTGTTAGAGGAATCATTAAGCTGCGCTTGTTCGTTTGGCTCTAGCTAGCGACAGGTTGGGTAATGATATGTGTGGTGGACCACATGTATGCATTCTCCTGGGTAATCTAAATTACTCATCCCCTCCTTTCCCGTTCCCCCTTGCGCAGGTGAGCAGGAGCAGCAGGAGTGATTGGCGTGTGATGGTGGCGAGCTGGTTCTCTAGTTCGGTCTTTGGGGTCCTTAAGACACTTAGCTTTCTATTTCAAATGGTTTTCAGTTGGTTTTAAGATTTGATTATGATTTATTTGAGTTTAAGTTGGTTATTTGCAAGACTGTTTGGATTTATATCTATGAAATGAGTATTGATTTGGAGTTAATGCTGTGGTAACTTGGTTGGGAAGTTGAGTGTTTAACACGTCATCTCATATGAGGAGAGGCGGTGTTACAAATCTGAAATGCACCATGAGTTATATATAAAAACTGTTTTATAGTTTTTGGGTAGTAATGTTAAGATATGTTTTTAGAGTTGTGTTCATATATGCATGGAATGTTTTTTTTGTTTGTTGCTGTAAAAGGGAACTTTCGATGGAACGTGCGGAACAAACCTAAACCATGGAATTGTTGTGGTTGGATATGGAACCGAGAACGGTCCTGACTATTGGATAGTGAAAAATTCATGGGGCAACACATGGGGAGAGGCTGGCTACATGAAGATGGCTCGCAACATTATCAATCCAAGAGGCTTATGTGGTATCGCGATGCCAGCTTCGTACCCTCTAAAGAACTCGTATTCTACCGATATAAGCTTCATGGCCTAATAATGTAAACTAAATGTATGGTACGCAATGGATCGAGTGAGCCAACAACCTATTCGACTTTGAAGGAAAAATAATGTCGTCGATGGGTTTTGTTTTGTAATATATTTTGAACTTGTATGGGGTCACTGTTTAGAGTTTGTATGTGATTTATGAATATTTCGTGTGAGTCTAATAATTAATATTCTTCTGTTTTCTATCAAAAGATTAAAACACACAATTCCAACTTTTGATAATAAATAGAAGTGGGAATGAAGCAGTATCCGTTATCCGAGAGTCAATCCTTACGGGTATACGAACGGATATCTTAAGAAAAAATAAAAGTTGGATATCCGCCAGTTTTTTATCAGACTCGACTTTACGAAAAAAAGAATTAGCGAAGATACAAACCTAAGATAAGATTCTAATTATATATGATTACAATTTACAAACTTCATAAAAGTTATACGTACGTGTTAACTGATCTCTAAGATGAGATTTTATGTAATCATTTAAATACTAATAATAATACATATAGATGTAATTTCAAACGGGTATTCACGAGTCGAGTAATTAATAATGCAAGTTCGTAGTGGATAGTTAAAATTAATTCAACTTTCATGTATTGTGTGATATTTTGTGAGATACAAGTCTATGCTGACTCACAATTGCATTGACAATGCGTTGATTTTTGTGTCGTTACAATGGCAGGTTAACTGCAAAAAACCTTGCTTCGTTAGATATGTATTTTACCTAAACAAATTCATTTAATTTGTTTTTATAGAAATACCATGTAGTTTAGTAATTATTCACAAAGAATCATCATTAAGTTATACTTTGGAGTTAGAATGATGTATAGTTTGTTTACATGAAAATATGATTTAAGTTATACTTTGGAGTTATTCTTCATACGGTATGCTTCACTTAGAGTTTCTTTATGTCTATGCCTCTGTCTTGGTATTTTGTGTATTATTATAGTTCCACCTTGTCTCTTTGAGGGAAGAAAGGTGAATAAAGTAAAGATTGAAAAAAAAAATGATTCCAACGAATACATGACACTAATAGTAATAAATACGAAAATATAAAGGAAAAGTTAATAAAAAAGTGTAACTGTAATTGCAAAAAAAAAGAGAGTGTAACTGTATGTTAGATAACTATTACATTTAAGAGACACTTTTTTGAAACTGAGACATTTTTGCTATTGAACTGACTATATTCTTCTGTCCAAGTGATAAAAATCGATTCGTATCCATGCGTTGGTGTCCATCCATCGTTACTATCACTTAATATTCATCAAATCGTGTTGTAACTATCACTTAACAACATTTATATCCACCGAGCTGTGTCCATCGGACCGCGTCTATATGCTGGTGTCCATATCCATTATCACTATCATAGTGTCTATCAAATCATATTATAACTATCACTTAGAAACAATTTATATCTATCGAGCTATGTATATTAGACCGAGTCTATCGAGTTGTGTCCGACGAGAAGGATATTTTCATACATTCAAATGAAATAGATAAAAAAAAATATGAAAAAATGTCTTAGTTTCAAAAAATGCAGTTTTTTAATTAATAATTCAAAAGTGCCTTTGAGCATAAATAATTCTAACTAGAGTCCAGAGTAACTGCAAATTTGTTAGCAGAACAAACAGAATCAAATAAAATTTTATCAAAAATTATAATTTATAATTTTACTTTCAATAGTTGTTTCAGAGTTACGAAGAAAAAAGCTTTAGTTCCTCAGTTACAAAAAAGGAAAAGAAAAAAAAAAGGTTTAGTCCCAATTTATATTTCTTCCAAGCCCAACTCAGTAGGGGTGGGCGCGGATCGGTTATCCAGAAATTTTTAAGTATTTGTGGTTTGTTCCGTTTTTAACGGATATTTAATTTTATAATTTGATTTGTTCCAGAAAATTTACAAGTATTTGCGGATATTTGCGGATATTTACGGATATTTATGAATATTTAGTTTGATCCGTTTAATATACGCAAAACTGAAAGTACATCAATTTTTATTATATAAAAAAATATTTTTCATCTAAACTATTAAGTAAAAATAACTAAAAGAAAACATTTTATCTTATAAAAAATCTATAAAAAATAAACCTACAAAATTAAGATGAGGAAAAAATGATATTTTATATTTAAAAATAATATTAAGTATTTGAAACTTTAATATTAAACTTTACTATAAAAACTTTTGTTGATATTTATTAACTAATATCAAATAAAATATTATTTATTAACATATTTTAAGTTTAAACATATTATTTATTTTTATAATTGGTTATTTAGTCATTTATTTTATATAATCAAAAAGAATTTAGAAAAAGTTGAAAATTTAGGAAGAAAATCGAGAGTATATTAATAAAAATTATAATATAATTGATATATACATGATAATATATACTAATATATAATAAATTTATAAAGATACGGATCAGATCGGATATCCGACGTTGTCTAAAAACATATTTGTGATTTGCTCCGTTTTGTACGGATACTATATTTTGCTATTTGCTTTGCTCCGAAACTTTACGGATATCCGGATTTTTCGAATCGGATCGAAACAAATACCGGTTCGAAACGGATATAACGGATATTTTGCCCACCCCTACAACTCAGAACCTGGAGTTTACAATTATATATGTCACGGTCTGACGCCCTATATATATTCTTTACCCCACTTCAATTATTTCCCTCAGGCAAATTCCGTCCTTATCATTTCACGTGAAACACGTACCCATGCAAGATTCTAAATCAAATGTGCAACCCCACATTTATATATGTGATATGTCCAATGTTACGTTGCCGAAAAATAAATTTTGAAACATTGATAAACTCTCGTAGGAAAACATTAATAAATCGACGTCGACTAATCCAAATATTATATACGTTAATTCTAAATCAGATGTGCAACCCCACATTTATATATGTGATATGCCCAATGTTACGTTGCCGATAAATAAATTTTGAAACATTGATAAACTCTCGTAGGAAAACATTAATAAATCGACGTCGACTGATCCAAATATTATATACGTTAATTTTGTTTAAACAAAATTTCAAATTGAATGTCACACTAATCCAAAACTTTTGGAAATATTGTTAGTCCCAAGAGACAATTAGACTGGAAGGGCATCGTAGTGCAAGAAATTGAGAATTCGGTGAACCAAAATGTGTTTTAAAAATATCAAAACAATCGTCTGATGATCAGGACTAGTTAATATTTCAAAAAGCAAGGATCTTCATTATTTAATTTTAATGCAATTTCGTACAATAGAAAATAGTTTTTATAGTAGTAGTTGTGCAATAAACCTTGTTATATATCGTCACAGTGGTTTGGGACCAATAATGGATCATAACGTTAAAGTATAAATTAAGTTTCCAACGTTATACATGCTCATAACATCTCCATCCTTGCGTATGTAACTTTTTTAAAAAGAATTGAAAGTTAAAATTAATTCAACAACAACAAAAAAGCCCCTTATATATAAACAACAACAAAATTTGTTTTTATATTCAAATCAGAGTATTTGTTATTCTTTTTAGCATAAAATAATAATAAAATTGCCAAATAAAGTTATAAGATTTCTACTCTACTTAAAGGCATCTCCATCGGTGTAGAGACACAGTTGAGTATCTAATGTATATACAAATAATATAATTTATTTATTTAATTATATCTTAAATAAAAAAGGAAGTTAAATACGTATTAAAGTCACTAAAGAAGAAACATATCTACTCTCTTTCCTCTTCATTTCATTTTTTATAATATTTTTTTAATTAGAAACCCTGTTAAAAGACGTTAATGGAGTTGGTCTCTACTATCATATTATGCATCCCTCCTTCAATGGTTCTGCGTTAGTACATGCAGTTTATATTTGTTTGCATTTCTACTTTTTCTTTTGTAAACAATTAGTATTATTTTGAGAAATTCCCTCAGATGCACTTAATCTAATTTTTTGTTCTATATATACATTAACACTCTAAAATATTTCTTACATAATATTTTGTATCATATTAATCTTAGTTAGACAAAACATTAGTTAATAAAAAGAGAAAAAAAAACAATGTACAAACAAATGTATCAATGGTCAAGACTGATTTGAAATTCGAATCATTTGTTTTGTTTAAGATCACTCTTCTTATTTGATTGTGATTTGTGTTGTGAATCTCTTAGATTTTGGGGTTTGTTTTATGGGAAAGTGATTTCGGGATTTAAAGCTCAAAATCATATAATGATAGATAGATCTGATATAATTGGGTAAAAAACTCAAGAAACCCGAGCTAAAACAGCAACAATGGTGAAAAAAAAAGAAATCGGCGGAAATTAGGGTTTGGATGTCGCAGAGGTGAGGAAGGAAATGAGCGTAAATTTAGGAAGATATTCTAAAGTTTTAGGAAGACTTTCCTAGAATGTATAAATTAATGAAGTTATTACATGTATTGAGGAATGCCTTCGTAAATCGTATAATTGATTATTATTTTTGTTAATTTATACAACTCAAATTCAAGAAGCCTTTTCACAATTCAGGAAACCCTTCCACAATTCAAGAAGCCCTTCCACAATTCAGAAATTTTTTTAAAAAATTAAGAAAGCTTTCATAACCAATATGAAACGATGTTAAATTCTTGATACAAGACTCGAAATCACTTCAAGTAATGTTCCCTTGAAATCGTTGCTTTTAGCTTAAAGGGGTGGAATGAAGACTTGAATGATTGAAAGTCTGGTTGAAGCTTGATGACCACAAACTCCAAAGGTTAGACTCTAGTTCTTCAAGGGCTAATCCTCACAAGAACAACTAGATTCTACACTTCTCACAAGCTCTTTGAATCCCTCAAAAAGAACTTAATAAAAAGCAGGAACAAGAATGTAAACAAAGAGATACTTTTCTTTGAAACAAAACAACTTTCTTTTGATTAATAATTTCGTGACTTGAATAATACAATGCTTGAGCTTTATATAAGGCTCAAAAATAATAATAAATGGTAACTAATGATTAAAAATCAAGCAAAGATCAAGAAATAACTTCTACTAGCCGTTAGGCTTAAATGGGAGGATCCTTGTCTTTGGCGCTGAATGGGGGAAGT